CATATTCCTCCTTTTTATCCTTTTTCTCATTTATAGAACGTGTTGGGCTGGAAGGGACTTTTAGAGGTCTAGTCCCATAGTTTGCTGGCATGGTGAGTCTGGCCATGCAGAAAGGAACAAGTGATGTAGAGTAGGCACTCAGGATCCTGTTCGGGCCTGTCTGTTCTCACTGTGCATCATTCAGTTGAATCCTATTTGGCTGCAGCTGTGGTAATGCTGTGCCTGAGCCTGGTCTTTACCTGGATTAGGACAAAGTGTTGTGCCTTACTTCCACTGATCTGGTTTTGAGATGAGCACCGCCCAGCCACCCAAACCAGGCGGCCTTGGATCTCAGATTTAAACAGCCTCAAACCCCTTCCTGTCCTCCTCTGGCCGTGGTGCAAACTGGCTGTCTGAGCTGTGTTACATTCTGATGTATGCATTTCAGCTTTGCATTTTGGGCACCATTTTAGTCAAAATGTTTTGGTTCTAACTGAGGCGTTTGGGAACTTTCCACGCACTGCATTTATTCTCTCAATCCTATATTATCCCGTGCAGCATTGCAGCTGCCAAAACCACATGCTCATGTTGGCATGAAATAATTATCCTGGTTTATATAGAACAGGCTTGGCAATAGTCTATCTCAATGAACAGTCATAGTGCTGAAAGATTCAGAGTCATCTGAATCTCCAAGCAACAGACTAAATTTCTTTCAGCTAGATTCATGATTTAAAAAAATAACAGGAGTAGAAAGCAAGTGTGGAGAGCAGGGTGAATACAAAGTACCTGTAAGGTCTGGAAGGAAGTGAGAACGAGATGCAGAAAAGAAAGACTATTCAAGATACAAACTAGGAATTTGGTTTCTAAACCCTTGTGAAATTATAAACAATATTTACTGTTGCCAGTTGGTGAACACAGATGTGTGGTTTTTTACTTGCATGCAAAGCTATTGGTTGTGGGTGAAGTACTTAGACGAAAACACTGAATAGCTGGTGTGGGTATTCTACCAAAAATAAACCCAAACAAACACTGAAGTATTATAAAAGCACTTTTTTTCTACAGAGACAAACATACAGTTGCTGCTGCTATTCATGAACTCTAGAACTGTTCAGGACTCCTGTTCAAAGTGCCTGAAATAATAATACTTTCTTCTAGAAAGTGGCACAAATATCTATGAAACTTAAGAACCAGTGCTTATGTATTTTTCATGAAAACATAGTATATGGTGTAAATTTACAGGGATATTGATCAATGATAACTATTACTTGCCAAGGTGTTGTGAACTAAAAATGCTGCATAGACAAGAGCCAAAGATGAAGAGTAGGAAACTTTTCTTATAAAAAAAAAAAATCTGAAAGTGGATTTAAAAATTTGTCAACAAAAAATTGGTTTGCAGTGATTAGTAAAGGCTTATTTTTCCTGCTTATTTTCCAGACAACTTCACAAAGAATTTTTTTTTTTAAATTTTACTCCATTATGAAAGTAACTACTACTTTGTTATCAGAATGGTAGTAGAGATTTTTATTCCAGAAGGTCAGGCGCTATGGCTACTTGAAATTCTCCAGATTGTTTCCACTGTGAGCAAATTCAGTCTTGATGCAAGTCACATCTGCTTAAAAGTGAATAGCAGTTGCTATTCAGGTATGAATGTCTTGCAAACTAAAAACCCCACCAAAACAACTATTTCAGTTTTTCCACATATGGACATATGGACAGCAATCACATCTAAATGCAGTTTCTTGACCAGCTAGCAAGGAAGGGTGGCGAGTGGACAGAAGAGCGGGGGACAGGCTGCCTGCATGGCCCTGATGTATCAAGGATTTAATTGCATGTTTAGCAACGAAGCTGCGGTGGCGCGGCGCAGGGCGTCAGTCACACCGCTGCTCCTGGCGGTTCCCAGTCCTTCAGAGCACGAGCTATTCCAGCTGTTCCAGTGCTCTGGCTGGCACTGATGGATTACTGGGAGGAAATGTTTATAGAAAGGTTCGAGTTTCCTAAGTGAGTGGAATGAAACCCCCTTTAGCAATGATCAGCGAGCTCGTGTCATGGAGCAGATTGAGGCAAAGGCCTTTTCAAAAAGGGAACTTGACAAGTGAGTAATTCTGGGGAGCAGCTAGAGGTGTTTTCAGATAAAAGACGTGGCTTTTCTAGAGAGGCAGTGTGAATGGCACTAGCTCTAAAAAGAACTTTAAATCAGTAGTTCATACAGTGTAAATGCAAAAGGTTATGTTTGAGAGCACGATGTCCAAGTAAAATAGTGCCCTAAAGTGCAACTATGACACACCGTGCTCAGTAAATGAAACAACATTGCAGTGCAAGCTCAGCTACAACAATGGCATCTCTATTCTGTTACTTGAATTTTAGTATAGCCATAGTTTAAGGCAAAGAAAGGATGATGAACCCAGTAAATAGGCTGAAAGACAGAAACAATCACCATATCACAGGTGTAAAATTTTGTTTGCTGGGGCACTTTCTGTGATGGTAGCAACATAGCTTGAGAGGTAAACATTCATTTCAGTTTAAAAAGTGAAATAAAATAGACCATTCTATTGAAGCTATCAGCTTCCAGGTGACTGTGACAGAGAACGCAGGCTTTGGGATAGCTATTAAGATTAAAGTAAAATTCACCTAGACAAAACTGGAGTTAGCAAAGGTGCTGGGGGCGAAAAAAGTCCAGAACACTGCCCTTCAAAAGCTATTTAAAAGGACCTAGACCTTGAGTGTTTCCTTAGAACCCTCCACCTGTCAAAGCAAGAACTAAATTTACAGCACTTTTAGCACCCTTCAGTCCTCAATTTCAAAGTCCCTTTGGAAGAGGAAGAGAGCATTATCCTTACTTTTCAGATAAGGAAACTGGTTTATTAGCATGCCCTTAGCGAGAGGCAGAGTCTGGAAGAAAACTTGGCTAGGATGCAAATACCTCAAGTGAGGGCAAACGTTTGAAACGTCTCAAAATGTGATCTCCTGGTGTGAGGGGCTGGTACTCAGAAAGGCCACTTAAAAGTCACAGCTCAGTTTCTGCTCAGTATATTCACAGTGTATTTACCCAAGTCTCTTGCATATCGCACAGCAAAGCAGTGAAGACACCACTCGCAGAGTTGCCCCGCCTCCGCTCTGTAACCTGCCATGTGTTCAAAGACCAAAAGAACTGCATTGGAGCCTTTGTATTAAAAATTATTTATTTAGTGATCTGTACAGGGGATGAAGCAGGGCCTCATACAGACCTTAAAAAAAAATCAAGTAAAAACATAAATACATATCTTCTTACAAAAATGAGATTTACAAAATATACATACTGCACTTGCCTTACACAATTGTTTTTTTCTTTTTCTTCCATGTGCACATCATAAAAGACAAAAATCCAGGCCCTGCAAGTCTGAAATCTGAAGGATTTGGCTGATAGGTCCATTCCTCATGCCCAGACCACTGGTATGCCCTCAGACAGCAGCAGTCTGTCCCCTCACCCTGAAAAAGTTTTTTCTTTTTAAGTTTTATTCCAGACACTTTTTCCCCAAAACAAATGAAGAGGAGCTATAGGGTGGAGACTTGCTAAAAATCCAGAATTTCGTATTTTGTCCTTAGGCAAGAATATACACACACACACTTACAAAACCAACCCTTCAGTGAATATAAAGTAGTACGCAAAAAAATAAAATATGAACAAGTCAACATAAAAATTTCAGAATAATCTGTCTCATTTCAAAAAGAAAACAATGCATCTCATGATTAATTTTTGACTGTCTTTCATTCCAAGATGTGATCACTGGAAACTTAACCAGATGTATTTTAGGAGAAATGAGAAGGCTCCTGACTTGGAGCAACTGCTTGCTTTTAAACCCCAGCCCCCTCCTGCACCAGGAGTCACTGCCGTGCAGTTCAGGCAACCTGAGGGGCAGGCAAAGGGTCTGTTGTGGGCCAAAAGGATCCCTCCTGTCCCCAGGAGCCAGCTGTGGATTAACTTTACCTGCAGCAACTCACCGCAAAGCAGGAGAGAAAGCAGGTCTACGGGAAGCAAAGAAAAAAATGTATCTTTACATTACATTCTTGTTTTGGCAGGTGCTCTTGCTTATGCTCTTCTCACCCTCTGAGTCTTGTGTTCCCTTCGGCTTAGAAAAGCAACCCATATTGAACAGTAGGAAAACATCCTGCCTCCTCCTTTTCTCATAAAAGGAATGTTTATTTCTGCGAGGTTTTCACATCCAAGGGTGAACCTCAACGACTTCTTTTTGTTAGTTTGCCCATAAAAACTGATCCCATGCTTATGCCCTTCCACATAGAAAACACTTTTCTTTCCCCTTTTGTCTCCTAGAACAAAGGCATGGGGGAGAAGCCTTCTGCTGAAAAGCAACAAGTCATTTCTTTTCAGGGTGTGGAATAGCAACTCCCTCCTTCCCCACAGCAGCAAGAACAACAGACCGAGGGGTGAATTTTCACTTTAAAACAATTACAACAGGCTTCGCTGAGGTAAAAAGGAACTTGTGAGTTGACAGAAGAGAGGCATCTCCCCAGCACACGATGCGGGCTCTCGCTGGTTGTGCAGTACTCACGTGATTGCTCTGCCGAGCTGGAAGGAGCAGGCAGTGAGCTCAGGCTTGGGATTCACCCTGCCTGAGCTCCAGTTTGACCCCAGCAATTCAGAGAGGGTTTGGCTACTTCTCAGCAGGGCAGCTCAACAAATCTGTCGTCTTCCCCTCCCTCTCGTCCAAAGTAAGGCAGGATGGTTTTAGTTGCGTCGAGGTTTTTTTCCTGCACAGGGGTAGCAGTAAAGAGACTTCTTGCAGGTGAAGGGCTGTCCCATCCCACCTGTGGCCTCTTTTTCCGTGCTCTTCCACTTGGCTGCACATAACCAGCACTGGAAACAGTCCATCTGAGCCTTTCTGCAATTTTTATTTTTTTTTCATAGCCTCTGAGAGGGAGAAAAAGTTTGGAAAACCCTCTCTCTTCAGGAAATCATTGCCATCATCTTCTGCCAACTATCACTCTCCCCTGTGTGTGTGCGTGCCAGAGGGCACAGGGGCATCTCATACTGCTGTCTCGCCTTTGCTGCCAGTGCTGAGTCTGTGGTAGAAGCGTCGCCAGGACTGGAGGGTTTTGCCAGACCAGATCCAGAAGCCAGTTGTGATCCCGACAATCATAGTCATGAGGTACTTGATCATGAAGACAGTGAAGTCTGGGCTCATAGGGGCAAAGTGGCTGGGACAGGGCACAGCATAAGTTTTGCAGGTCTGGAGGAGCCACGTTTTCTCCCAGGTGCCACGGAAGGCCTGCTCATAGAAGTAACATGCCAGGACGATGGTGGCAGGCACTGTGTAGAGGACGCTGAAGACACCAATACGCACCATCAACTTCTCCAGTTTCTCAGTCTTGGTGCCATCATGCTTCATGATGGTGCGGATACGAAACAAGGACACAAAGCCAGCAAGCAAGAAGGAAGTGCCAATGAAGAGGTACACAAATAAGGGTGCAAGCACAAAGCCCCGCAGAGAGTCCACGCTGTAGATACCTACGTAACACACCCCACTGAGTACGTCCCCATCCACCTGCCCCATGGCCAAGATGGTGATGGTCTTGACAGCAGGCACAGCCCAGGCAGCCAGGTGGAAATACTGAGAGTTGGCCTCGATGGCCTCATGGCCCCACTTCATGCCAGCAGCCAGGAACCAGGTGAGGGACAGGATGACCCACCAGATGGAGCTGGCCATGCCAAAGAAGTAGAGAATCATGAAGAGGATGGTGCAGCCTTCTTTCTTGGTGCCTTGGGCCACGGTGCGTGGGGCCCGGGTTCGGTAGCCATCCGCAGAGAATCGCTCTAGACATACCACTCGCTCCTCCAGCAAGAAACCTGCTGCGTAGGCCACTGCCACCATGAAGTAGCAGCCCGAGAGGAAGATGATGGGCCGCTCTGGGTAGCTGAAACGGCGCATGTCCACCAGGTAGGTGAGCACTGTGAAGAGGGTGGAAGCGCAGCAGAGCACAGACCACACTCCCACCCACAGCCGAGCAAATCGTACCTCCGCTTCCTTGAAGTACATAAGCCCGTTGGGCCGGGCTGGCTCACAGGGGGCCCCGCAGTCCCGCTCCCCCAGGAACCGATAGCCCAAGTAAGGGGGCACTTTGAGCTGCCGGGGGCAGGAGAAGGAGAAGCCGGAGGGGGGCTG